GGAGGCCGTCGCAGCCGAAAACGGAGCTCGGGAGACCGTTTTCATTGGCAGAGCGCTCGGGCTACCACAGGTGTCCCCCGACACAAGTAACATTGAGCTGGCTACTCCCACTCTGGCCACACACACACCCCGAGGTCAAATACAACCCTGGTGTGGCACTCAATGAAATTGTGTTTGACACCCTTGATCTACACTCTGTGAATACAGAAGATCTCTCCAAATCCCCAGTATGCTAAGCATGATCCCAATATTTAAAATCTGATAATATGCTAGCACAATATTTTGCAGAAACTAATGGCCTATGTGGATAACCCCCCCCACACACACACAAATTAGAATTGCATCTTTTTCAATTGTAAACATTTAATATAGATATAAAGTCTACAACCAATAGACATATTTAGATTTCAGTAGAGTTCCTTAGAGAAAAAAAGCCACCATAATTGGTTTCTCTAGCAAACAATATCAATGCCACGGAGACCATACACAAAAGCAATTCAACAATGATAATTTAGACATGATGCCTTCCATGTGACATCATTAAGCGCCATGTACATTTTACTTCATAGCGTTTCTGATTCCCACGGCCTCTGCGAGGAGAATTAACTTCAGGTGATGTATGGAAGCACAGTGCAAAAAACAATGAGTCCTGCCTCCTGCAGCTTGGGGTCTGGGTTGCCCAAGATTAATTGCTAACAGATCTTTAAAGGAAATACAATCCATCTGGAATCAAATTACAGTGACAATTATATGCTATGATGGTACCTATCCCCCAGTGGGCAATCTGTTTGCCGATGTCTGCCCACTGGCTAAGTTGTACTTCTAAAAGAAATCCATAATACATTTAAGGCCTCTTAAAGACTCAGATTTAAGAACATCACCATCCATATTTGTATATTTAGATTAAAACCCAGCAGTCTGAAGACTTTCATCAGTTAGAAAGGAAATTTGGATATCCTATAAAAGGAAAATCTGAGACACAATAAGAGCAGAAACTTCAAAACTGAGCATTTCCTCTGTAACTCTTTAACCAATTTAGGATTGGAAGAACTGTCTTCAGCATCTGCACAGAGTCACTTCTAAAGGGAGATGTCATCATTGACTTTAAATGCCTTGTATGGGCAAGGGAACTCTCTATAAACCCAGCACTGTAAACTTGTCAGACCTAATTAGAGCAGAAGGGAAATCAAGGCAGCTGTCCAGCTCTATGGGCAAAAAAGCCGTCGCTAGCACTTTATTGTTTGCAATCTTCACTTTCAATAGATTTCTGCTCTTATGATATGTCCATGATTGAAGAAGAAATGGGTTTTCTGGACCGAATGAAGTGGAAAACGCTACAGCGTTCATCAATTT